TCAATTTATTCAACCAAATGAAAAACAATACACGCTATTAAATTTTTTGGGTAAAATTAAATTTTATTAATTTTTGTCATCATAAAATCATATATTCTATTTGTGAGTTGTAATATATATATATATTTTTCTTTTTATATTGTTGAATTATGTTTACAAAAAAGTATGAATCCGAATATGAAAACTTAAAACGAAGAAAGAAATAAATAAACTAGCTAAATATCAAAAAAGAGTTATTGATAAATTTGTTACAATTAATAATCAAAGCACAACAAAAAAATATTAGGTGAAAAATCAATAAATGAACAACCATAAAAAAAGAAATCAATTATTTTACAGTCTTCTAAAGGAATTAGAAGAATAACTATACATTAATGTAAGAAAAAGATATTAATGACTAAATGTGCGATAAGAATAATCTATATGAAAAAACAAAAACCAAAAAAAAGTCAAATTCTATTTCAAAAAATATCTTGATCAAAAAATAAGAGATTATTAGAAAAATATAGTCCCATTAGATTTAATGATTCAATTATCCTAAACATGAAACTCTAGTCATTTTTCAACTACATATTATGTTCAAAAATTACCAATAGTAAGAAACATGATAGAAAATGGCCAGTATATTCAAAAGATTTGGATAGAGTGTTTAGGTTTTGTCACAAGTAATTTAATTCTTTTTAATATTTATCATGAGTCATGAAAAGTGTGAAAAATATTCTTTTAAATCATCAAGAGATTTTTTCTTCACAGTATTTTCCTTTTATTTCTCAATTTTTAGTTGCAATGTTGTAAATTAGTTTTTTCTACTTAGGTTTTAAACTTTTAATTACAATTTACATTTTACTAATTATAAGTTTTTTCTACTTAGGTTTTAAACTTTTGACTATATATTTAACGGGAATTGGTGCAACCTTCCATATTCTTCTAAGACTCCTACTAGATATTTATTTTTATCTTCTTCTGTTTTTTTCTTTTTTCTTTTTTTCTCACATATTTTCTTACTATTTCACTCTTGGAGAAGATTTTGGACACACTTTATTCTACTTAATAATTTGTTGGAAGCTGGATCAAGGGGCATAGCAACGTTGACAAAGATCCGGAAGGAACTCCTGACTTGAATAGTGCGTGGGGCCATATATACGTGCTATAAGAGAAATAGAAAATAGAAAAAATAAAAATAAAAATAATAAAATAAAAAATTGTTGGAATCCTTGGACCTAATTTTTCAAAATAAAATTCTATAAATTTTATTAATAGAACTTAAATTATTTTATTATTTTTTGTTATCAATTTTTATTTTTTTGGGTAAGTCAACTTATTCAACCAAATGAAAAACAATACATGCTATTAATTTTTTTGGGTAAAATTAATTTTATTAATTTTTGTCATTATAAAATCAAATATTTTGTTTGTTAGTTGTAATATATATATATTTTTTATATTGTTGAATACATTTACTAAAAAGTATGAATCCGGATATGAAAAATTAGAAAGAAGAAAATAATAAATAAACTAATTAAATATCAAAAAAGAGTTATTGATAAATTTGTTACAATTAATAATCAAAGCACAAAAAAAAAAAAAAAAAAAAAAAAGGTGAAAAATCAATAAATGAACAACCATAAAAAAAAAGAAAAGAAAAAGAAATCAATTATTTTCAAGTCTTCGAAATGAATTAGAAGAATAATTATACACTAATGTAAGAAAAATATATTAGTGACTAAATGTTCGATAAGAATGAATAATTTATATGAAGAAAAACTAAAAAATAAATAAATAAAAGGAGGAAAAAGTGAAATAAAAAATCATATTGTATTTCAAAAACATCTTGGCCAAAAAATAAGAGATTATTAGTAAAATATAGTCCCATTAGATTTAATGATTCAATTATCCTAATCATGAAAACTCTAGGCATTTTTCAACTACATATTATGTTCAAAAATTACCAATAGTAAGAAACATGATAGAAAATGGCCAGTATATTCAAAAGATTTGGATAGAGTGTTTAGGTTTTGTCACAAGTAATTTAATTCTATGTAATATTTATCATGAGTCATGACAAGAGTGAAAAATATTCTTTTAAATCATCAAGAGATTTTTTTTCTTTGCAGTATTCTCCTCTTATTTCTCAATTTTTAGTTGCAATGTTGTAAATTAGTTTTTTCAACTTAGGTTTCAAACTTTTAATTATAATTTACATTTTACTAATTATATGTTTTTTCTACTTAGGTTTTAAACTTTTAACTATATATTTAACGGGAATTGGTGCAACTTTCCATATTCTTCTAGGACTCGTACTACATATTTATTTTTATCTTTTCTTTTGTTTTCTGTTTTGTTTTTTGTTTTTTTTTTTCTTCTTATTCCTCACACATTTTCTTACTATTTCACTGTTGGAGAAGATTTTGGACACACTTTATTCTGCTTAATAATTTGCTGGAAGTCGGACCAAGGGGCATAGCGTCGTTGACAAAGATCCAGAAGACACTCCTAACTTGAATAGTGAGTATGTTGTGAGACTAATATACGTGCTATTAGAGAAGAGAAAAAAATAAAAAAAAATAAAAAAATTTGTTGGAATCCTTGGACCTAATTTTTCAAAATCAAAAATAATTATTTTATTTTATTTTTATTTTATAAATATTTTTTTTGGGTAAGTCAATTTATTCAACCAAATGAAAAACAATACATGCTATTAATTTCTTTGGGTAAAATTAATTTTATTAATTTTTGTCATCATAAAATCATATATTTTGTTTGTGAGTTGTAATATATATATATATTTTTTATTGTTGAATATGTTAACTAAAAAGTATGAATCCGAATATGAAAACTTAAAAAAAAGAAATTAATAAATAAACTAGTTAAATACAAAAAAGAGTTATTGATAAATTTGTTACAATTAATAATAAAAGCACAACAAAAAAAATTAGGTGAAAAATCAATAAATGAACAACCATAAAAAAAGAAATCAATTATTTTCAAGTCTTCTAAAGGAATTAGAAGAATAATTATACATTAAAGTAAGAAAAATATATTAGTGACTAAATGTGCGATAAGAATGAATAATCTATATGAAGAAAAAACAAAAAAAAAAAAAAAAAAAAAAAAAAAAAAAAGGGAGGAAAAAAGTGAAATAAAAAATCATATTCTATTTGAAAATATCTTGATCAAAAAATAAGAGATTATTAGTAAAATATAGTCCCATTAGATTTAATGATTCAATTATCCTAAACATGAAAACTCTAGGCAGTTTTCAACTACATATTATGTTCAAAAATTACCAATAGTAAGAAACATGATAGAAAATGGCCTGTATATTCAAAAGATTAGGTTTTGTCACAAGTAATTTAATTCTGTGTAATATTTATCATGAGTCATGACAAGAGTGAAAAATATTCTTTTAAATCATCAAGAGATTTTTTTTCTTCGCAGTATTCTCCTCTTATTTCTCAATTTTTAGTTGCAATGTTGTAAATTAGTTTTTTCTACTTAGGTTTTAAACTTTTAATTATAATTTACATTTTACTAATTATAAGTTTTTACTACTTAGGCTTTAAACTTTTAACTATATATTTAACGGAATTGGTGCAACCTTCCATATTCTTCTAAGACTCCTACAACATATTTATTTATTTATATTCTTTTCACATATTTTCTCACTATTTCACTGTTGGAGAAGATTTTGGACACACTTTATTCTACTTAATAATTTGTTTGAAGCCAAACCAAGGGGCATAGCGGCGTTGGCAAGGATTCGGAAGACACTCCTGACTTGAATAGTGCGTGTGTTGTGGACCCTATATACGAGCTATTAGAGAAAAAAATAAAAAATAAAAAATTGTTGGAATCCTTGGACCTAATTTTTCAAAATCAAATTCTATTAATTTTATTAATAGAAATTAAATTATTTTATTTTATTTTTTATATTTTTTTGGGTTAAGTCAATTTATTCAACCAAATGAAAAACTATACATGCCATTAATTTGTTTTTGGGTAAAATTAATTTTATTAATTTTTGTCATCATAAAATCATATATTTTGTTTGTTGTATTATATATATATTTTTTATATTGTTGAATATGTTTACTAATAAGTATGAATCCGAATATGAAAACTTAAAAAGAAGAAAAAATAAATAAACTAGTTAAATATCAAAAAAGAGTTATTGATAAATTTGTTACAATTAATAATGAAAGCACAACAAAAAAAATTAGGTGAAAAATCAATAAATGAACCATAAAAAAAAGAAATCAATTATTTTCAAGTCTTCTAAAGGAATTAGATGAATAATTATACATTAATGTAAGAAAAATATATTAGTGACTAAACCTGCTATAAGAATGAATAATCTATACGAATAATAATAATAAAAAAAAAAAAAAAAAAAAGGAGGAAAAAAGTGAAATAAAAAATCATATTCTATTTGAAAAAATATCTTGATCAAAAAATAAGAGATTATTAGTAAAATATAGCCCCGTTAGATTTAATGATTCAATTATCCTAAACATGAGAACTCTAGGCATATTTCATGTTCAAAAATTACCAATTGTAAGAAATATGATAGAAAATGGCCAGTATATTCAAAAGATTTGGATAGAGTGTTTAGGTTTTGTCACAAGTAATTTAATTCTATGTAATATTTATCATGAGTCATGACAAGAGTGAAAATATTCTTTTAAATCATCAAGAGATTTTTTTTCTTCACAGTATTCTTATCTTATTTCTCAATTTTTAGTTGCAATGTCGTAAATTAGTTTTTTCTACTTAGGTTTTAAACTTTTAACTATATATTTAAACGGAATGGGAGAAACCTTCCATATTCTTCTAAGACTCCTACTACATATTTATTTATTTTTTTTATTTTTTAGTAATGCTTGGATCCTGTCATGGCCCAATAAGGATTTGCCACATCTCCATTTCATTAAAAAAATATAAAATATGAATTATACCCATTTAACTGACCCGTTTTGTAACAAGAGTGGACGCAATATGCAACAAATACGACAAGTACGACATCGACAAACACAATGACCTCAACATCTCCGGCGACGATGCTTTTTCCCGTCTTTTTGCCGCCGTCGAGGCCGACCTCAATCAAGCCCTCCAGGTACCCCTCCTCTCTCTCTCTCCAGACTCATATGCTCTAGAGCTAGAGTTCTTTTCTCTCTCTATATATAATATGCAACTGTGTTTCTTTATGTGTGTAGAGATCGGACGCTGTGGCAACAGAGAAAAATAGGGCAATAGTTGTCGCCATTAATGCTGAGATACATAGAACGAAGACTCGCTTGCTTGAGGAATTTCCCAAATTGCAAAGATTAGCGCTTAAAAAGGTCTTTTCCTAGTCTGTTATGTTTATATATATATATATTAATTGTTATGTTTTGTTCTTATTGTTTTCTGATACCTTACCTTCTGTTTGGTTGCCCAGAAAATTGAAGAAAGTAAAATTATTTGATTTATTTTTACATTGGTTTTGAAAAAAAAAAAAAAACATTGATGAAATTGGGGACAATAGAAGGACAATACGAAAGTATACAAACCAGTGGTGACAGTGAGTGATTGAAGATTCCGGCGGTGTGTGTCAGATTCCGGCAATAGGGTAAATCACGTTCCTCTCCGCCGGGCAATTGGGTAAATCCGGTATGTGGAGATGAGTAAATCACGTTCCTCTCCGCCGGACTCCAGGAATTCTAGAACGCCGTTCTGCCTTTCAACAGGTTCCAGCGAGTTTGAGGTCGTAGTGGAGAGATTTCATCGCCGGGACGAGGTGGGCGATGAGGCTCTTGTCTGCGTGGCCATGATTTCGTTGCCGACGGCGATTCAGTTGATTTTGGTTTTGGGTAGAAAAGGGAGATCGCGGTGGAGAGGACAGCGAAGAGTCGGTGAGAACAGATCCGGCGGAGACAAGAAGGATGACAGATAGATGATAGCAGAGAGCCGGCGAGACAGATCCGGCAGTTGGAGATGGCGGCTGTGAGACAGATCCGGCAGCGGCAAGACTGATCTGTGAATCTGTGATGAAGAAAAGGAAACACACACAGGGGAGGAGAGAGAAACAAGGAGAGAGAAACAAAACGGGTTAGTTAAATGGGTATAACCCATGTTTTATTTTTTTAATGGAATGAAGATGTGGCATATTTTTATTGGGCCAAGTTAGCTTGGAGGACAAGAATTACTCTATATTTTTTTTTTCCTCACACATTTTCTCACTATTTCACTTTTGGAGAAGATTTTGGACACACTTTATTCTACTTAATAATTTGTTGGAAGCCGAACTAAGGGATATAGCGGCGTTGACAAAGATTCGAAAGACACTCCTGACTTATATAATGCGTATATCGTGGGGCCAATATACGTGAAAAACAAAAAAAAAAAAAAAAAAATTGTATTAATCCTTGGACCTAATTTTTCAAAATCAATTTCTATTAATTTTATTAATAGAACTTAAATTATTTTATAATTTTATATATATATACATATTTGGGGGTAAGTCAATTTATTCAACCAAATGAAAAACAATACATGCTATTAATTTTTTTGGGTAAAATTAATTTTATTAATTTTTGTCATCATAAAATCATATATTTTGTTTGTGAGTTGTAATATATATATATATATATATATATATATATATATATTGTTGTTGAATGTGTTTACTAAAAAGTTTGAATCCGAATATGAAAACTTAAAAAGGAGAAAAAAAAAAAATAATAAACTAGTTAAATATCGCAAAAGAGTTATTAATAAATTTGTTACAATTAATAATCAAAGGACAATAAATAAATAAATAAAAATCAATAAATGAACAACCATAAAAAGAGAAATCAATTATTTTCAAGTCTTCTAAAGGAATTAGAAGAATAATTATACATTAATGTAAGAAAAAGATATTAGTTACTAAATGTGCGATAAGAATAATCTATATGAAGGGAAAAAAAAAAAAAAAAAAAAAAAAATGGAGGAAAATAGTGAAATAAAAAAACATATTCTATTTCAAAAAATATCTTGATCAAAAAATAAGAGATTATTAGTAAAATATAGTCCCATTAGATTTAATGATTCAATTACCCTAAACATGAAAACTCTAGGCATTATTCAACTACATATTATGTTCCAAAATTACCAGTAGTAAGAAACATGATAGAAAATGGCCAGTATATTCAAAAGATTTGGATAGAGTGTTTTGGTTTTGTCACAAGTAATTTAATTCTATGTAATATTTATCTTGAGTCATGACAAGAGTGACAAATATTCTTTTAAATCATCAAGAGATTTTTTTTCTTCACAATATTCTCCTCTTATTTCTCAATTTTTAGTTGCAATGTTGTAAATTAGTTTTTTCTACCTAGGTTTTAAACTTTTAATTATAATTTACATTTTACTAAAATCCAACTTTATTGTTGCAAACAAAGCACATTAAAGAATTTTCAAAATAAATTGAAGGATTTATGTTATGCATACATATTTTTACAAGCTTTTATCTATTTAAATTTTTTTAAAAAAATTAATAAAATTATCCAAAATAATAACAGTTTTTTTTTCTTTCTAAAAAGGGTTAGTGGGTCATGTCCGGTTGATCCAATCCAAATTCAACCCAGTCCGCCCATTTGCCACCCTAATATATAAGTTTGATCAAACAAGCAGCCTCTAGCTCTGTGAAGTCATAAACTTGTTCCAATTATAAAATTAGAAACTCTGTTTTTCTTTAACGAATTCAACTAGATGTGGTGATTTTCTGTAGAAAAAAACCACAAACAATTCTCTCAATTATAAAAATATTATTTTTCAAGCCCTTAAAAGTTTAGAAGAGAAATAGAGTTTAAATAGTTTAAGAAGAACTAGTTACTTCAAAAAAAAAAAAAAAAAAAAAAAAAAAAGGGTTTTTTTCGTGCAAAACCTTCCTCTTAAAATCTGGCCACAAAGAAATCCAAATTTGACTCAACAAAAACTTTCCTTTATGTTCAGACAATGTTCTGTTTGGAAACGCAACTCATTTTTTTTGACCTGCAAAACGCCAGAGGCAGTGTTTAGAAGGCTCCACACCAAGAACGGAACCAAACCTGCATAATGCAACTCTTACGTACTTGTGTTTGACAACACCACCAGTTTTGCGAAGTGCTAAAGATACTTTAACATAAAAACTCCAACACACCTACCACCAACTCAAAATACATATATACAACGTGTTCTCACTCACATACCTGGTCTGAATGATGTCTTCATTCGAATCAAAGTATAAACACATATTGGTAATTCTTGTTGTTCCACTTCCGACATCAGACTCAAAGTGACACGTTTTGTCAATAAAATTTACTAATTACAAAAGTTCTATCTCACATTTACAGATCAAAGAGCCAGTTAAAAACAAAATGAAAGAATGATGATGATGACTGAGCAAAAAGCAATTTGTCGTCTCCAGGTCCAGTACAGAGGCTGAATACCGAACCCTTGCTGATTCCACACAAAAACTTATTTGGCTTCGATGACTCTTAACAGATATGGGTATTTCTCACTCCATTGGCACTGTTCTCTATTCTGATAATCGGAGTGCTATTTACATTGCTCATAATAATATCTTCCATGAACGCACCAAACATATTGAAATTGATTGTCAAATTGTGCGTCAACATGTTGCTCAGGGCACTGAACGCCTTCATTCTGTAACTTCCGCTGATTAGACCGTTGACATTTTTACCAAAGCTCATTTGCTAGGTATATTTCGGGAATTAGTTTCTAAACTCAAGTTGGTTTCTACTCTACCACCTTAAGTTTGAGGGGGATGTTAACATAATTAGATTATATTATAGTCGTTGTTTAGATTGCTACCATAATTACATTATATTATAGCCATTGTCTAGATTGTTACCATAATTGTTGTATAGCCGTTGGTGATCTCTAACCTATATATCTCTCTCCTTGTACATGTTTTACAAACACTTCAATATACAGAACATATATTGTATATCTCAATCTATCTCTTTCTACCTCTCTCTCTTATATTCAACATCCTCAAACTACCTTTAATATTTTCAAGTACCACTTTTGTGCATATAAGTATCATTCTTGTGTACGCATGTACCATTTTTGTGCAAACTAACTCATTAAAATAGTCTACAAAAAAAGTGGTACTTCTGTGCACAGGAGTGGTACCTACATTCACAAACGTGGTACCTCTATGCATAGGAGTGTTACTTACATGCATAAAAGTGGTATCTCTGTGAACAAGAATAATACCACTAATCACAAAAGTGGTATGTTGTGTCAGTTTATTACCACTCGTAATAGCATGAATCTTTGTAGGATAGTACTATATAAAGGGTGTCGATCCCACAGAGAGACGAGTTTGCTTTGCTTTGTTTTTAACTAATATATTGGTTTAAAGGTAAATAGTTGAATTGATTGATTGATTGGTTGTCACAAATATAAAATAAAATTAAACTAAAGTGATCAGAGAAAGAGAGATCTTAGGGCTTTGACTTCACCACAACCTTCATACTATGGTTAACTATTTCAACTCTGAGATTTAACAATTTATATTTCAAATGAATTGAATTCAATAACATATTGGTAAATATATGCTTCGTGTGACATTTAAGATATAACTAACCCTATATTAATATGCTATAAGATATTTGCAATATGCTAAAAATATAATTAATTAAATGTTCAACTAAATATTTAATTAAACATGCAAATTAAAGTAATAAAATAATAATAATAAATAAAGAACATGGACCGAGGCTACTATTGGATACTATATCCTTAAGACAGATTTGCCCCGTTATGGTGCTAACGGACTTAGTGGCGTCTATCTCCTAGGATACAACGGTCTACATCTACCAACAGCAGCACTACAAACTCGTGGATACGGCAAATCTCCTCCATGTAATACTCTCTCTGACTCAAAAATGCATCTATACTATATAAAAAATGAATTGGGTGCAATCCGAACCAAATGGCTCGGACCAAATTTAATATAGCTCAATGAAATTGGTTTTGGGCCTAAGTGGCTCAGACCACTTGACCATGGCTTGAACCGACATCCAATTGGGTTGGGTTCATCTTGAAAGAGGCAGAGAATAATCAATTGTGCAAATGAAATATGCAACCAAGGGGGGCATTTATAGATAAAATGGTGCCTCTTGGTTACTGGGTGTGTCTATTCATCATTGGACACAACCATTTATATATGTCTCTTCATTACTGGACACAACCATTTAAATGTGTCTTTCCATCACTAGACACAACCATTTAGAAGTGTCTCTTCATCATTGGACACAACCATTTATATGTATCTATTCATCACTAGACACAACCACTCCAATTGGTTGCAATGATTCACATGGTGTCTAATCACCACTAGACACATCCATTCCAATAGGTTGCAATGGTTCACATAGTGTCTGTTCACCAATAGACACATCCACTCCAATACGTTGCAATGGTTCACATAAATAGTTATGTCTGTTGGTTTGAGTTGCATCTTTTCATCACATAGCCAACCAATAATCGCACATGTTCAGTCAAAGGCATCTATTGATGACTAATCAAACAATTTTCATTCACAATTTTTAACATAACATTCGTTCAATTCGATTTTTAAAGAAAGATGGTTTATAAATTGCAGTTAATAATAACTTATCTGCGGTTAGCATAGACTATCCACCTACCTATTTTAACTAATTTTGTAAACAATCCATCTTTCCTAAGTATAGACTATGAAAACATTCATTTATAAAAAACATTGGAACACCATTACATAATCTCCATTCTTATATCCAGCAGGGCTCCTCCAGATACCGTCCAATAAGAATAGGTTGAGTATAGTTGATGAACAGTTATATCTAAGACAAAGTAATAATAATTCAAAAACTATTAAAACTTTAAAGATTCAATAGAGTTATCTCAATTGCTCATAATCATGTAATCAGAAATATAATATATATTAAAAATATCTCAGAGTTAAAACAATTAAACCATAGTAATTAAATAGGTTACATAAGTGCCCTAAGAGATAAATTAGCTACTCACGACGATGCAGAATATCATCTGTGTTATTGTCATCTTCATCATCACGGACGGCACTTCTTTCTCAAGATCTTCATCTTTTAAGGTTATGGAAACCCTAAAAGCCGCCACCACAATATCAACC